AGAGAGAGAAAGTATGGTTTAAATTGTAGAGAGAGTAATCTTAAACTTTTAGAGAGAAATTGCTATAAATTTTAAAAAGAGAAATGGCAAAAAAAAAAAATTAGAGAGATAAATATCTCGTTTTTTAGATAGAGAAACTATCTCGAATTTTTAGTTTTAGAGAGAAATTATCTCGAATTTTGAATTTTAGCGAGAGAAAATATATTAAAATTTTATAAATAGAAATTATATCAAATTTTAGAGAGAGAAATACCTAAAAATGTTTAGAGAGAGAAACTATTTCAAAAATTTTGAAGAGAAACTATCACAAAATTTATGTGTTAGAGAGAAAGTATATTAAATAGAGAAAGTACATTAAATTTTTAGAGAGAGAAAGTATATCAAAAAATTCTAGAGAGAGAAACTATCTCAAATTTTAATTTTAGAGAGAGAAAGTATCTCAAATTAAACTTTAGAGAGAGAAAGTATATCAAAATTGAGAGAGACAATATATCAAATTTTAAAAAGGGAAACTATTTCAAAATTTTAGATACAGAAAGCATCTTAAAATTTGAGAGAATAACTATATCACATTTTAGAGAGAGAAAATACATAAAGATTTTTAAAAAAAGAAAATATTGCAAAATTTTTAGAGAGAAATTATCTCAAATTTTAGCTTTTAGAAAGAGTAATATCTTAATTTTTTTAAAAAAAACTATATCATATTTTAGAGAGAGAAACTACTTAAAAATGTTTAGAGAGAGAAAATTATCTTACAATTATTGCAGAGGGGAACTATATCAAGTTTTAAGTTTTAGAGAGAGAGTATCTTAAAATTTTAAAAAGAGAAACTATATTAAATTTTAGAGAGAGTAAAGCACCTAAAAATTTTAAAGAGAGAAATTATATCAAAATTTTTAGATAGATAATTTTAAAATTTAAGGGACAAACCATATCTATCTCAAAATTTTTATAGATACACTATCCCAAATTTTGAGTTTTAAAGAGAGAAAGTATATTAAAATTTTAGAAAGAGAAATTGTATCAAGTTTTGTTACCAAACAATGGACATAGAAGTGATTGCAAGGAATCCACGAATTTTGTGTAGTTTATTCAAATAAGGGATTTGAGAAATCCATGACAAACATCCTTGATATTGAAAATCCATAGATTTTTTTGGATTTCAAATATCTAAGACTCTTAATTTCCTCTTATCTAAACGACCCTTTAAAATTTGGAGGTGAGGTACGCTTAATTGAATTGTTTAAGGTTGCAACCTAATAGAAACCACACCATTAATAAGTGTTTTGGTATAATTATTATAATAATGCATGGTCTTTGATATAAGCTAAAATTATTAAAAAAACGGATTATGAATTTTCATGCTCATTTATTTTATTTATGATCAATTATTTAAAGAATATTTAAAGAAATATAAAAAAATAAATTTTTTTTGCAAGAAATTATTTTTTATCTTCACTTCTTAATATTACCAAATTTGGTCAAATTGAGAAAAATGTTCCATACGATTTTGGATATAGCAATTTTTTTGGCTTTGAGAGGTGGGGAGATATATACGAGAAAATTGGTCTTGATTGGTGAATCGATGAATCAGCCAGTCTAGATTGGTAAATCGACTAGATTTAGCCTTAAAAAATTAAAAATTAAAAATTAATTAAAATTGATTTAAAATCTAATTTTTTAAGTTTCTAAAAAAAAATAGTAAAATTAAAAATTAATTAAAATTGATTTAAAATATAATTTTTTAAGTTTCTAAAAAAAAATAGTATTACATTATGATTTTTATTAATCTAACAAAAATAAATAACTATCGTGAATCGGTTTTCAACTTTAGGATGCCTCTCTCCAATTGATTGTTCTAATGTGTTTAGAGCCAGACTTAAACTTCCATGAACTCTCTTGAGCATGAGAAAGAACAAAGTGCAAACTGAGGACAAAGAGGCTGACCATCAGGACATCAACAATGCATGCCTTAACTAGCTTGATGATGCAGTTCGCCTGTGCAAAGTCGACTATACCCATGGCACACTCCCAAGTTTGGGCTTGGCATTTTTATTTGAAGTTTTATGAGGAAGGGAGTTACAGACCAGGCCAGCCTTGGCCTTGGCTTGGCCGTTCTTCCCTATAGGCCAGGCCAGCTGGCCAACCAACAAATGGAGAAAAAAAAAGGGGAAAATAAATGGGGCCACACCGGCACTGATCCTAGCCCGGCCCTTGAGTCACATTTCATGGCCCAGGTCCTACTCTGTTGTAGACAGCCTTCAGCATCAGGCGGGGCTGGCAGCCCATTGCCCGCCCTAGAAGGGAGCTAGGAATAGAACTTGTACAATCCACCACATATGGGCAAGCTTTTTATACTTCCCATAAAACTTATATACTTCCCCTTATCCAACTGTCTATTCTGAATTGAGGGTTAAGATTGTCCCAATCACAACGTCACATCTCTACACTATTTTATTTTAAAATTTTTTTCTATAAACTAGTTTGACACCAAATTTTGGATGTCCAATCCTCTATTAAACTCGCACTAACGCAAAATATTAAAAAACTATTTCCAATAAAATAAAATAACCAAAATACCCCTGAAAGTTTCAAGGGGTATTTTGGTCATTATATTTTATAGAAAAATTATTTTAATATTTTTTTATAGGTGCGCCCTAATGAGAAGATGACACGTACCGAATTCTATATTCATACAATTTGTATAAAAAAAACTAAATAAAATACTTTGAGATGTCGGATCTAAGATCAAACGGTGAGTATCAAAATTAAATGGCTAGATGGGCAGGAGAAGCACAGACCAACTAATTTCCCTTTACCTTTACAACATATTTTATGATGTATGCATTCCACTTGTTTCTTTCACCCAATTGAAGCTTTGCGACCAATGCAACCATTAACACTCCGCAGTCTACTTTAAGGATGGGTACATTGCAGGTACCACAAGGCGGTTAGATCACTTGGCGTTGTCACAACCAACTTAGAAACAGGCGTTGTCTCAGCTTAGTAAGGGTGAATTACCCACCACTACCTACCGTCTCGGTTTTCACCCTAACCCCTTCTAAAAAAAAACTACCAATGGAACGGTTAACGTTCAAAAAAACAAAAAAAAAACAAAAAAACAAAAAAACAAAAAAAACAAAAAAAACAAAAGGTGGCCTTGGAGTAGTAAGCACCCTTTGTGCAAGTATTAGAGGAAGGACCACAAGGGCCTACCGTTCCCTTTCTCTCTCAGGTTCACCTCTCTCTCTCTCGTTCATCTCTCTTTCACTGAAACCAACAAAATTTTCTTAACTCTTTTTAATGGTGCTCTTTTTCTCTCCAACTCCTCTCTCTCTTGACTGTGCAAACTTGGTCAAATAATAACTTTTCTTTTGCTTTTTATGCATCGACAAATCTAGGATCTAGGGCACAACGGGAAGACGCAAATCCTGGATATTTGCATCAGATGGGGTGCTAAACATGTTTGAAAACCCCCAATCCAAGAAATCTCAATCCTAGACTGAGATCCCTAGAATACGGACACATTTGAGTAGTCAAGATTTCTTATTAATATTAGTTCAATAAGGAATATGAAGTAATGAATGGCTTGGACAATTGATCAACCGACCGTCCATTCCCCATGGAAGGTTTCATAGGAACAATTTTATATTTTAGATTTCCAGGTACGTCATTAAAAATTAAAAAAAGAAAAAAAAAAAAAAAAAGAAGAAAATGTGGGTAGAAATAGCAAGAAGATGCAATTTGGAAGGGATGATGGGAGCAAGGGTTGGTTTTGGTCATGGTGCTAAAAAATGGAATCCAGAATGACACCTTTTTCTCTCGAAAACGTACAGGCATTCGTACTACTAATCTTACTATAATTGCTCATTCCTCATCAAAATAAAGCACATAATTCAGTAGCATTAGCTGAAATAAGGCCAGGTGTCATTATTTTGATAAAAAATGGCTTGTGCTACGCCAACAAATTGGTCTACTACATAACAAGACTTCACAAGTTCAGGAACTTGAGAGCATAACAAAAGGCATAAATTTTTAATCAACTACCGAAAAGAGACGTTCACTAATCGAAAACTGATGCTCGAAGTCCATTCTATCCCACATAAGGGATGGAACACCTTCAAGGGTTGAAACAAAGTCGGTGTGTGGAAAAATAAGAGAGATCAAAGGCACACAAAATATGTACATGGTTCGGCATATACCTACATCCACGAAGGGTGAAAGACATTTTTTCTTCGCATCTTGATTACACAGGTAACACCCATATATAACAAAAAAGATATAACCGATTTTAATAAAAAGATAAGATGTAATCCCACACAATGTGGCACAGAGATGTAATCTCAACAAAATAAAAAACTTCATCTTGAATAATAGAAAGAAAGTGTCAATCTTCCAACACAGTGCCATCAACTCAAAATCAATTCTTGAATAAACAAGGTAAGAAGTTGGAAACACATGCATCACTCAACAAGGTAACAAGTTAGAAACACATACATCTCTCCCTATAACTGATTCAAAAGTAATGAAAGACACACTACTAAGAGTGTCATACAAATCCAGACTGTAGAGCCATGATGGGTGTGATGGTGTGGCTCCTAAATCAAGCCTCACATAAGACATGGCTCCACTCTTGAGCTGTCTTCTCCTTACCTGTGTTGGTGGGAGCCAGCATGATCATGTCTAGGGCCAACCTTGTGTCACTTAACTCTTGCTTTTCCTCCTCACGTATTACAATCTCCACGATCACCACTTTCTTTCTCTCCATGGGGATCGCCTCTCTACAATTTTTCAATATGGCTATGCACTCTTCGTCTCCCCAATCATGCAAAACCCGCTGTAGATATGATCCACAAGACAAATGTGCAAAGAAAGAAAAACAGAAAAGAAATTGGTGAGATCTCTCTTTAAAGGAAAATCAAACATGAAAAGAAAAATTGATGATATCACTCTTTCGCAGCTACAAGTTTACTTGAGACTTTTGGAGGCCAATGGGGTGCGACAAACTTCTCCAGTTCATATCAGAACAAGACTTAGGTGCTTCAGGGATTGCACATATTTTTGTGTAGGTTCTGAGTTTTTCATCGTCGAATTATAACAAATGGTGCAGTTTGGTCCCAATTTTTTTTTTTTCCTCAAGTTTTGGGTGCAATCTGCACCGTTGGATTATTGTGTTATTTGAAAATAATAAGCATAATAAATACCCCAACTCTACGACAACTTCATTGGATTTTGATTTATTTGACATAAAAGCTCAGGGATTGTAAGCGACCGGTCCTTAATAAGGATGCGATTAGTAAGTTTTCTTTGAAGATTTCAATCCAGCATCATGGCAATGACTAATTTGCTGTTAACGAAAATTAAGGTAGTGGTAGGCCCCATTAGTTTATATTATTTTATTGTTAATGAAAATTAAGGTAGGGGTATAATTCACATCGATGGAAAAGTCCCAAAAGTGGCGCCTACAAAGTGTGGAATATTTTTTTTAGCGTTAAATGTAGAATGTTTCCCCTTCTAATGGTTTGATAACAACTTTTCTTGCAAGTGGGCGACCCAATCCTATCAAGTTTTTTGGGATTTCATATAAAATTGAGGTGTATAGCTAATTGATGTCCATTTTCTTTGGGAGCACCATCAAAATTAGACAAGCACATTCCAACTTTAGCATAATTTTTCCATTTGATTGTCCTATATTCTTTAAGCTAAATTTGAATCTCCCCTCAAACTTCTTGTACAAATCTATCTCAAAAGGAAATAATTTAGACTAGGGCAAGCTTTCTATGCTTCCCATTCAGCATAAAACTTATATACTTCTCCTTATCCAATCGTCCATTCTGAATGGAGGGTTAAGATTGTCTCAATCATAATGTCATGTCTTTACACGATTTTTTTTTAATTTTTTTTCTATAAACTATTTTGACACCAAATTTTGAACGTCCAATCCTCCATTAAACTCACACTAGCAAAAATTATAAAAACAATACTTTCAATAAAATAAAATGATCAAAATACCCCTGAAAGTTTCAAGGGGTCATTCTATTTTATTGAAAAATTATTTTTAATACTTTTTATTGGTGCGCCCCAATGAGAAGATTCCACGTACCAAATTTCATATTCATACAATTTGTATAAAAAATTAAAAATAAAATACTTTGAGATGTCGGAGTGACTCTCTTGATCAAAATTGGACGGCTGGATGGTAGGGGAAGCATAGATTTTCTGCGCTGTAGGGGAAGTATAGAAACCTTTCCCTTTAGAATAAACAAGTGATTTAAAAAACGGATCGGTGAACTGGATCGGGCAACCCAAAAACTAGTCGAGATCGGTGAATCGGTAGTCCGGATCGCCGCTTTACTGTGTGGAAAAATAGTAAACCGACAAAAAAACCACGTGCAAAAACAGTGAACCAGCCAAAAAACAATTCGGATCGGTAAATCAGCATTTTTATTATAGCACATACTAATTTACCATTGCAAGTTGCCATTCTCTTCTAGACCAGGTCGATTTCTTATATTTTGATTAAAACAGCAGCATGGGGTGACCAATTCTGAGGTCGGACCGGACGATTCTGTGTCGATGTGGCGTTTTTTAAATCACTGGAATAAACTGAGGAGAAATGGGCTGACTATGAGGGCTACAACATGCTTTTCAACTTGAGCATGCTTCTCCTCCATGGACTGTATGTGATTTTCATCTTTAGCACGTTTTTCCTCTATGGATTGTTTTAGTGCTCTTATTAAATTTGAATCTCCTCGTGAGATCTCCCAAACCAACCTACCTTAAAAGGGAAAGGTTTAAGAAATAACGCTCCATTTGCTAAAGACTAGGAATATATGGGCTGACCATGAAGACAAGTTACTACTGAATATACCCAAGCTCCCTTAAACCAAAAAGGAAACAAAATCGGAATGAATTATGAAGAAGGGGCTTACCATGAGGAGAGCAACATCTGCCTTTGGTATGGCAACGAACATGCCGCCTCCCATATGCACCACACCTTGTTGCTCCACACAGGCATCAACCACATGTGGCAAGTCGAAATTGATGCCTCGAATGTGAGGGTAGGCCTCAATAGTGGCCCTCAGAGCAGTGCCAGTGCCTCCCCCGACATCCACCACCGAGTTGACATCCTTAAAAGACCGTCACACCCATTCAGCAAGGCTCGCATGGCTACCCTTGCCCCTCATGCCATAGCCTCATTGAGTAGCCCCACCAGTTGTTCATGTTCGGCTGAGTACTCCCATACGTCTGTTCCATTGTCGCTGTAAACCCTGGGACTCCACATTGAACACGTGACCTTAGGGCATGCCAGGGTGCCAGCATCGCAGGGTGGCACTCAAATAGTATTGAATGCTGCCATGCTATGCTCTTTGTTCCTAGATAGGCATCCTGACAGTCGAGTCAGGGTGTAACATGTGGCCCCGTTGCTATCTGTTCGGGTAGAGATGAGACCTTTGTGAGCAAGGAAGCGCATAATACGATTGAGAGTAGCAGGTTCTTTTGGAGGGTGGTGTAGGGAAGCACATAGCTGGGACAAGGTCATGGGTGATCCATGGCTTTCAAGGATATCAACCAAGCCTAGCTCAATTGCGCATTTGGCCACCGCAGAGTCCACGAACCCAAAGACATATTTCCAAATTTGGGCTTGCTCTTCCATGGCAAGGCTATGCTGTTCCATTTTCTGTGAAGAAAAAGGGTAATTCAGATTCAATTCTGGCCCTTAATGTGCTAGCCACAAAGCCAAGAGCGAAAACCTTGTGATGCTTGGCTCCATGGTGGCACCATACTCTTACATAAACCACAACCAATCATGCACACGGTCATATTCCCCTTTAAAACATGTTTCATGCCATATGCATGGAAGCTGTTTCTTTCAGGTCCCGGGCTGTATCTATCTACAGCCAATTTTAATTAAGCAATGGGTGCAGTGCAAGTGCTTATGCACACCGTACTTGACGTTAACGGCCAAGTAGTAGTACTCATTCAAACGGACCGCAAGGAGGCTAGGTCACTTGGCACTTAAGAATGAGTTTAGGATTAGGTGATCATGGTATTGTTATAACATGACGTCTTGAATTCTATTTCTATAATAAGTAAAAGACCCTATCCCCACTAAATTATCCTAAATAAATAAATAAGAGAGTGTAAGAGTGGCCATCTACAAGCAAACACCCATTGTGTGTGAACAGATAGGGTACAAGGACCTCAATTGAAGGAGCCTAATGACCCAACATGGGTAACACAAGGAAAAGACCATTGAAAAGAGCCTTGGGAGACATGTGCTTCAGCAACTATTTCCTTGTGGGCTCCATTTGGCCACTGAAAACTTAGATTTCAAACGAGTCCCTGTTGTGCCCACATAATTATGATTAAGCAAGTGATCATATGCTAAAGGTTGACTTAAGAGCCAAAAACAGAAAATAGAAATAATAAATAAATAATGGAAGAAAAATGGATTCCCAAAACAAGCACAAGATATGTGGTAGACCCATCCCTATTGAATTACCCTAAAATAAAAAAAAAGTGTTGGCATGAAAAACTATTTTCATCTCTAATTATAAAATTTAAAGTTTAAAAAATAGTGTAGATCGAGCAGATCTATTAATACTTGACAATATCGAAAATTGAAGACCGAGGTATTACGTCAAGATACACTATTTTCTGGACTTGAAATCCAATTTGTTTTAACATCTATACAACTCGAGGTCAAGATGACCGATTGAGGGTTTTTTGACATCGAAACAACCTCTTTTAGTGAATTTGATGTGTGCCTTAATTGATTGATTAGGGCCTCAACTTATATAAATTTTTTTCATAGAAATACATTTTAGGGTCCGTTTGTATAGGAGGAAATTAGAAATCTTAGATATTTGAAATCCTAAAGAAATCTATGGATTTTCAATATCAAGGATTTTATTCATGGATTTCTCAAGTTTGGATAAACTATACGAATTAATGGATTCCTTACAATCACTTCCATGTCCATTGTTTGGTAACAAAACTTGATACGATTTATCTCTCTAAAATTTTTATATGCTTTCTTTCTCTAAAACTCAAAATTTGGGATAGTGTACCTATAAAAATTTTGAGATAGTTTCTCTCTCTAAAGTTTGATATGGTTTCTCTCTCTGAAATTTAATATATTTTTTATCCAAATTTTAAAATTTGGAATTGTCTATATAAAAATTTTGAGATAATTTATCGCTCTAAAATTTTTAGATGCTTTACTCTCTCTAAAATTTAATATAGTTTCTCTTTCTATAATTTTAAGATACTCCCTCTCTAAAACTTAAAACTTGAAATAGTTCCCCTATCTAAAATTTTGAAATAGTTTCTCTCTTTAAAATTTGATAGTCTCTCTAAAATTTGATATACTTTCTCTCTCGAAAGTTTAAAATTTGAGATACTTTCTCTCTCTAAAACTTAAATTTTAAGATATTTTCTCTCTAGATTTTTTGAGATAGTTTATTTCTCTAAAGATTTCATGTACTTTCTCTATCTAAAATTTGACATAGTTTATCTTTCTAAAATTTAAAATACTTTCTATGTCTAAAACATAAATTTTGCGATAATTTCTCTTTCCAAAAATTTTGAGATAGTTTTTATCTCTAAAATTTTTTAGGTAATTTCTCCATCTAAAATTTGATTTAATTTTTATCTTTAAAATTTTAATATATTTTCTCTATCTGAAATTCCAAATTCGAGATAGTTTCTCTATAAAACTCAAAATTCAAGATAGTTTCTCTCTCTAAAAAAAAAAGATATTTCTCTCTCTAAATTTTTTTTTGGCTGTTTCTCTTCTAGAATTTATAATAATTCCTCTCTAAAAGTTTAATAATACTTTGTCTCTCTACAATTTTAAGAATACTTTCTCTATCTAAAACTTAAGATTTGATATAGTTTCTCTCCTTAAAAATTAAAATATGAAATTTTTTCTCTCTCTAAAAGTTTTGAAATAGTTTCTCTTTCTAAAAAATTGAGATAATTTATCTCTCTAAAATTTTTAGATATTTTATCTCTCTAAATTTTTTTGGTACTTTCTCTCTCTAAAATTATAACGTAATTTCTCTCTCTAAAATATTAACATACGTTCTCTCTCTAAAATATTAACATACTTTCTATCTAAAAGTTAAAATTTGAGATAGTTTCTTTATGTAAAATTTTTAGATAATTCATCTTTTCTAAAAAAAATTGGTGCTTTCTCTCTCTAAAAGTTTAACATACTTTATCTCTCAAATTTAACATACTTTCTCTCTCTAAAAGTTAAACTATGAGAAAGTTTCTCTGTCTAAAATTTTGTGATGGTTCATCTCTTTTATAAAATTTGGTACTCTCTCTCTGAAATTTTCATACCTACCAAATGCTCCCTATGTTTCGAGTCTAGGGAGCCAATGAGTGAAATTCATGGGCCTTGGAAATGCAAAAAAACAGGTTTTTGCTGTGGAAATGAAATCATGGAAAAAGTAAGTCTTATTTCCATGATTTTGATTTTTCTGATTTTAAATATCCTAGTCATTAAACAATCAAAATGGTAGATTTTGGTAAAATCCAATATTAAGAAGTCATTTACCCAAACAGGCCTTAAGCCTTTTGCAGAAGGGCACGTGAAAGCGACAGAATGCTATAGAGAGCACAAGCTTTGTGCTGGGTGAGATGAGGAGTGCACGTGAAAGTGAGAGTATGCTATAGAGAACACAAGCTTTGTGCTTGGTAAGATGTGGGTGCGGTTTTTATAAGGTTGCAACCTTAAACAATCCAATTAAGACGTATCTTAATCATAACATGTAACTTTCTTGTAAAAAAATTCTTAGTATTATCTTAAAATCTATTTTTATACCTAAATAAAAAATTATAAATTCCAAAAATGATTAAATCAAGGGAAAATTGTTGAAAACCCCCTTAAAATATACTTTGTAGACACTCTACCCCGACCTTAAATGTTTCTCACTTCTTTTTCTCAAAAACCATCTTTTCTAGCTAATACCCCCAACCTAAAACAAATAGAAATAAAGATAAAATTACCACCCCCCCCCTTTTTTAACTTCTACGTTAAAAAGGGCGTTTGCATAGGCAATCCGGCATTTTGTGACCGTCGATCCGACGTTTGCATAGGCAATCCGACATTTTGTTGGCGTGGTTCAACATTTTGATTACTATAATAAAATCACTCCGATGTTTTGATGCAGTTGTCTAGCAGTGTATGTGCGCGGTCCGGCGATATGTTTACTGTAATGTGGGCAATCCGACGATTTGAAGTAGTGCAGCAATTTACTTACTGGAATGGGGTCAGTCTGGGGTTTGCAATGTGCGGTCCGGCATGTGTTTTTGGAATGATGTTAAGTCCGACATTTTACAGCTTCGCTTCTGCGTTATGGTCGATCGATCCAGCACTGGGAGCATGCAGTCTGACAATATCTTACTCGCGGTCTGGCATTACAGAACTTCACTTTGGTGATTTTACTACTGGAGATGTAAGTCCTGCATTTCATGGTCTCGATACGACATTTTAGATACATGAGTAGGTTGGTCCGGAGTTAGTAGACTACGGTCTGGCATATCATTGTCTAAATAAGCAGTCCAGTATTGTAAAAATGCAGTCCAACATATGTCGTAAATCAGACGAATAACAACCCCGGTCCAGCGAAAGTATTATTGGGGTCCGTCCAAATGATTTGTTCATACGGTGAAAGTACGAGAAGGGGTATTTCCGTTAAAAAAAATCACTTTTTGAGTTGGAGGTATTAGTTAGAAAATATGGTTTTTGAGAAAAAGAAGTTAGAAAAGTTTACGTTGGGGGTAGAGTGTCTAGAAAGTATATTTTAGTAGTTTTTCAGTAATTTTCCCTAAAATCAAGTAGATCTATAAATATATGAAAATCTTGAAAATGGACGGTCTAGATAATGTGTTTCAAGATGCACTATTTCCGAGATTCAAAAACTTTTTTTTTCATATTCATAGATCTCGATATCGAGATGATTGATTAGAGGGCTTTTTCAACATTAAAACAACATTTCCAATAGATTTTTTAGGTGGATATATGATTCTACATTTTAAGGTTGTAACCTTATATAAACTTTTCCCAATTTTAAATAACTTACTAAAAAGTTTATAATGAGCTGTTTTAACTAAAAAATTTATTAATGATCAGGGAATTCATTTTCTTGTCGAAAGTTAGTTACATTGTGAGCCCCATTGTCTAAAACCAATCTACATCAGATATCGCCGATTCAGATTGATAATCAGTCTTGGACGAATCAGTTCTCAGTTGGCTTTAGTGTAAATTGCAGTGGAGCATGACTAAAGTACCTATGGCTTCTGGGCCTGCGCACATACCCTAACTCTCTACCCTGGCTTATCTTTATCTTAAAGAAAAGTTTATATTAAGGTGTGAACTTTATATATTAGAAAAGTAAAAGGTACCTTCAAAATACACTCGTAAAGATTATTTCGACATCGAGAAACTCTACAATTGATCATCTTGACCTCATAATGCACGGATATGAAAAAAAAAAAGAATTTAAAACTTCAAAATAATACAACTTTTAACACATTCTATAGACAGTTCATTTTCAAAAAAATTTAAGTATATATAGATAGATTTGCTCATATGTTCGATCTTACCATTTTTGGAGCTTTAAGTTAACAATTATGGAAAATATAGATTTTTAGGCCATCATAAGAGCTCCTGGCACCAGAATTACATCTTCTAACGAGATTTGCGAGTGCATTGTTTAAGGTTGACACCTTATACAAATCGCACCCGTCGTCTTATCATATGCCCTTTCTCGTGTCAATGCCGACAAAAAAAAAAAGAAGGTATTTTCTGAAAATAAAATCACCATATTTTTAGTTCCAAGACCGGCAAAACTTTTCATCATCCCTGCTTCCCTACGATTTCACCAGATTCATTATTTCCTCCCAAAAACCCCGTATAAAAAGTTCGTTACTAAACACGTAAGTTCAGTGCCCCGCACCTGAGGGTAGACACTGTAGATTGTGGATAAGGACCATGTATCGTGATGGTAACCTAGATTATAATAAAAGAAGGTGTCAAGTTCACTATAGGTTTTAGGCTAGGACTGAGAGTGAGTCGGATCATTGTCAGGATCCAAAAAGTATACATAGGATCTGAATCCGGATCAGGACCCGATTGGATCCAAATCCGGATGAAAAAAGTATATAATATTTTATAACTCGGTCAGATCCAGATCTGATCCACCGGTACCCAGATCCAATCTAAATTAGTATTCAGGTCCATATTTTTATTCAGATCTGACTCATTAGATCCAAATTTTGGATCCATACCCAAATCCAAATAGAATCCGAAATTCAAGTTTTAAATACAAAGTTTCAAACCACGTAAATTCTCGGCCCTATCACATCCCTAGATAACTAGAATGAATAAAATTCCACTTAAGACTTTGAGGAACTCAGGATTCAGGTTGAGCAATTTATACAGACATAAGATTTGTTCATGTCTTTTATCACAAAATTATTATGTTCAATCGCCTATAAAGTCCCTAAACACCCCTAGAAGCTTTCCCATACAACATACGTTCTCACCAAAATTTCGTCAGAAACCTTGAAATTTGGCTAGAATTTCCTCGGAAAATCTCATCCAATCAACTTAAAACTTGTGCCACTTTTTAGAGAATTAGATAAGGACTCAGTTTCTATGCGGCCAAGCCCACATATGTAGAAATGTTCACCTCTTAACAAATCTATTTTTTAGATGGATTTTAGGACTTACGTTTTATGGACAGGTAATCTCTAACATCGAGAACATGACTATGAATAAATAAATAAATTTTAAACACTAGAAATAACAATTCTAGTAAGAAAACATTTGAACTGTTAGTTTCTATTGTTTTTAAATAGAATACCTACTGGCATTCATCTTTAAGTTGGAAGCTTTACACTTTATGGACCGTATATAGAAATGCAGTCCGGCCCGCATGAAACAATTTTCTATTAGATAATATTTCCAATGGTTTGAACCTCATCTCAATCTAATATACCATTCGAATGCTACAATAGTTTTACTAAAGAGGATTAACAAACTTGACCTGTACACAGCATATTGTGACATACAGTTTATGTGCCGCATGCAGCACATCTTGTGCCAAACTTGTAGGGAATTGCACAGAAACCTTGGGATTCATGCCTAAAACTTCCAGAAACCCCTATGCTGATACGTTATTTTAACAAGTTATCCATGAAATCAGAGTGGTCAATTTGAAACCCGAACCCCACTCCCCCCAAACCCCACCCACCCACCCACCCACAACAAAATATAGCATACATTTCTCTATTCCCCCAAAATAACGAAAACCTCTCTCCATTTCTATCTTTATTTAGATATGTCACACACCTGACACAGTGGGAAAGCATACGAGGAACCATATCATCATCATCATAATTTAAATTTTATTTCAACTTATAAGGTCGGTTACATGAATCATATTCTGTCATTCTGCTCTATCAATGATCATGCCCTCAATTAAGCCATAACTCATTATAGCTCTGCTCATTACTTATATCCATATCCTTTTTTGCATTCATTTGTCCTTTTAGAGCCTTTCGCTTGAACCACATAGCCCCTTCTAACTGGTGTTGTATCAGGTCTATGCTACATATTACCAACTCACCAAATTTTATTTTCCCTCATCTTATCGCTTGTTGGAGGCAAACCTAAGTTCCCTCATATAAATTCATCCTGAACATTACCTTTTCTTATCTTACTACTCATCCATCTCAATATCTTCCTCTCAGCTATACTCATCGTATGAAGATGTTATTTCTTGACAGCCCAACATTTTGTCCCATAAAGCATAGTTATTCTCGTAACCATCCTATAAAACTTCCTCTTAGTTTCATTAGTATTGCGGCAATCGCATAAAACTCGGGGTGCACATCTTGACTTCACCCACCCAACTCCAATTCTATGCACGACATTTTCCTCAATCTCTCCATTCTTCTAGAACCATATGATCATGAAAAATTATGGGCCAAAGTGTTAGCACTATCCAATCAAATGTTGGATGGTGCGGACAGAATGACTACCAAGAACATTAGATGACCCCACTGACGCACAACTCCATCATCGTCCATCAATTGATTGGATATATGATGGACATAGAATGACACCCATGAAAATATGAGGAGACCCAAGTCACACTACAATCTCATCGAGCATAGCTATTCCACCAGCACCAGGATCATAGCACTACTATTCTCCAAACAATTCATATGGAATCCAAAAGATTCTTACAAATGTAAAGGGATGCAAAAGCAGAATGTGGAAAGAAAATTGTCTTGAGAGGATCATATAATAAGAAGAAAAGAGTAAAAAGAAAATGCCCAGTCAACAATTAATCCAAGGGCAGATGTTTTATAAAAAGGATAAGAGAAGTGCAAAAAACCAGGGTAGAAAAAATAGAGAGAGAGAGAGAGAAGGGTGGGGTTGGGCTCGGGCTGGGGCTGGGGCTGTGTTTCTAACGTACATAGAAAACATGTCAGATAGGACCTCCACTGTCCACTCTAGGTGTAAATGCATCTCAATTGGACTGGTGGAGGTCCTATTACAATCCCACTGTTATTTGAGGGAACAATGGCAAAATGGAAATGAACATGAGCAGAGAGAGAGAGAGAGAGAGAGAGAGAGAGAGAGAGAGAGAGAGAGAGAGAGAGAGAG